AGACTATTGTCTAGACTATAGTATAGTCTATATTCTAGACTATTGTATAGACTATAGTATAGTCAATAGTATAGTCTATAGTCTAGATTATAGTATAGTCTAGATTATAGTATAGTTTATAGTCTAGAGTAGAGTCTACAGTCTAAACTATAGTATAGTCTAGACTACATTATAGTCTATAGTTTAGACTACAGTATAGTCTACAGTCCAGACTACAGTATAGTCTATAGTGTAGACTACTTCATAGTCTATAGACTAGACTACAGTATAGTCTATAGTCTAGACTACAGTATAGTCCATAGTCTAGACTACAGTATAGTCCATAGTCTAGACTACAGTATAGTCTATAGTCTAGACTACAGTATAGTCTATAGACTAGACTACAGTATAGTCTATAGTCTAGACTACAGTATAGTCTATAGTCTAGACTACAGTATAGTCTATAGTCTAGACTACAGTATAGTCTATAGTCTAGACTACAGTATAGTCTATAGTCTAGACTACAGTATAGTCTATAGTCTAGACTACAGTATAGTCTATAGTCTAGACTACAGTGTAGTCTATAGTCTAGACTACAGTGTAGTCTATAGTCTAGGCTACAGTATAGTCTATAGTCTAGACTACAGTATAGTCTATAGTCTAGACTACAGTATTATCTATAGTCTAGACTACAGTATAGTTTATAGTCTAGACTACAGTATAGTCTATAGTCTAGACTACAGTATTGTCTATAGTCTAGACTACAGTATAGTTTATAGTCTAGACTACAGTATAGTCTATAGTCTAGACTACAGTATAGTCTATAGTCTAGACTACAGTATTGTCTATAGTCTAGACTACAGTATAGTTTATAGTCTAGACTACAGTATAGTCTATAGTCTAGACTACAGTATTGTCTATAGTCTAGACTACAGTGTAGTCTATAGTCTAGACTACAGTGTAGTCTATAGTCTAGACTACAGTGTAGTCTATAGTCTAGACTACAGTATAGTCTATAGTCTAGACTACAGTATAGTCTATAGTCTAGACTACAGTATTGTCTATAGTCTAGACTACAGTATAGTTTATAGTCTAGACTACAGTATAGTCTATAGTCTAGACTACAGTATAGTCTATAGTCTAGACTGCAGTATAGTCTATAGTCTAGACTACAGTATAGTCTATAGTCTAGACTATAATATAGTCTATAGTCTAGACTATAATATAGTCTATAGTCTAGACTATAATATAGTCTATAGTCTAGACTATAATATAGTCTATAGTCTAGACTATAGTATAGTCTAATAATCTTTACGTCCAAGCCTGCCTCGAATTAAGTCAATACTGAAGTAATGATGACTGTCATTCCACAATGAAGCTTGTGTAGCAATAAGTTTTAAGTTTATTTCCCATTGGGTCTTTAAAAAATAACTTCGCTTTCAATTGTAATTATTTTCTTATTAAATCACCTAGAAATAATTACATATTTTTACAAAAAGGAATTTAAGAGAAAAAAATATTAACCCTAAAGCCACATTTTCACACTTTAACAAATTAACAAGTCATTATAAAAATGACAATATGTATAAAGTTTTTTATATGAATTATTTAGCTTAACATTAAGTTATTCTTTTTTATTATTATAAAAAAATAATAATTAGAAATCTATAGAAAAAAAAAGCAATTGTAAGATTGTAAGAAAAAAGTAACGTTGCATACAAATATTGCAAAATAATAAAATTATTTGCTAAAATAATAAAAAACTTATAAACAAATGAATACATATTTATGAGTTTTATTGTAAAGCATTTATAAGAAAAATATATATAAAAAGTGGTAACTACTTTATGAGTTGACAATTTTAACACCTTTAAAGGTGGGTTAAAATTCACATTGTTTTATTAGTTAGCAAAAAACAAAATCAATTTAATGCTAGACAATTTTTAATTTTAATAAATTAATAATTTTAATCAATAAAAAAAACTTTTACCTTCTGTTATTAAAAAAAATGAAATCATTGATTACGATTTAATCAAATTAAGTCATTATTTGGCATCAATTTAATTTCAAATTATTAAGTAATTAATATTTTATTATTAATGAAAATGATTAATGTACATATTTTAAAATTAGTCAAAACAATTAACAACGGTTGACTCCATGTTGTCAAAACACATTTGTAAAAGTTTTGTTAAGATTTTGTAAAAAAATAAAATTTTTGCTAAAGTAATGGTTTTTAAGAAACAAATTAGGATTGCTCTCAACATTTCACATACTCCCAATTTTCTCTCTCCGTGAAGACTGGACTTTAGTATAGTATATAACCCGCAAAATAGCGCGCCAACAAGTAGTACCCTCACGGAATCTCCCCATCTGAACCCAGCACCACTTTCGAATTCCATCGGGTTCTTGCAGTGGTATAGTCTGGACCATAATTTAGAACATATTCAGCACTATACTATAGTCCAATTTTAACTATAGTGTAGTCTATAGAGTAGTTTATAGTCTAGACTTTAGTGTTGTCTATAGCCTTGATCATAGTGTAGTCTATAGTCTAGACTATAGAGCAGTCTATAATTTATAATGTATACTAAGTCTACACTATAGTCTAAGTCTACACTATAGTGTAGTCTATACTATAGTGTAGTCTATAGTCTACACTATAGTGTAGTCCATAGTCTAGACAATAGTGTAGTCTATAGCTTAGACTATAGTGTAGTCTATAGTCTACACTATAGTGCAGTCTATAGTCTCTACTATTGCGTAGTCTGTAGTCTAGACAATAGTATAGTCTATAGTCAAGACCATATTATAGTCTATAGTCTAGACTATAGTATAGTGTATAGTATAGTCTATAGTTTAGACTATAGTATAGTCTCTAATCTAGACTTTATTGAAGTCAATAATCTATACTATAGTGTACTCTATAGTCTAGACTATAGTACAGTTTATACTCTAAACTATAGTAAAGTCTATAGTCTGAACTATAGTGTAGCCTATAGTCAAGACTAAAGTCTAGTATATAGTCGAGACTATAGTCTAGTCTATAGTCGAGACTATAGTATATTCTATAGTCGAGGCTATAGTGTAGGCTATAGTATAGTCTATTGTCTACACTATAGTATAGTCTATTGTCTAGACTATAGTCTAGTCTATTATCTAGACTATAGAGTAGTCTATAGTCTAGACTATAGTCTAGTCTATAGTATAGACTATAGTGTAGTCTATAGTCTAGACTATAGTATAGTCTATAGTCTAGACTATAGTACAGTCTATAGTCTAGACTATAGTACAGTCTATAGTCTAGACTATAGTACAGTCTATTGTATAGACTATAGTATAGTCTATTGTCTACACTATAGAATAATCTATAGTCGATAGTTTAGACTATAGTGTAGTGTATAGTTTAGACTATAGTGTAGTCTATAGTATAGATTATAATGAAGTCGATAGTCTAGACTATAGTATAGTATAGACTATATTGTAGTCTATACTATACTATAGTCTAGACTATAGTGTAGTCTATAGTCTAGATTATAGTGTAGTTGATAGTCTAGACTATAGTGTAGTCTATAATCTAGACTATATTGTAGTCGATAGTCTAGACTGTAGTGTATTCTATAGTCTAGTCTATAGTCTTGACTATAGCATTGTCTACTAGTGTAGAGTCGAGACAATAGTGTAGTCTATAGTCTGGACTATAATGTAGTCTATAGTCTAGACTCTAGTGTGGTCTATAGTCTAGATTATAGTGTAGTCGATAGTCTAGACTATAGTGTAGTCTATAGTTTAGACTATAGTGTAGTATATTATCTAGTCTATAGTCGAGACTATAGACTATGCTATAGTCGAGATTATACTCTAGTCTATAGTCGAGACTATAATGTAGTCTATAGTCTAGACTATAATGTAGTCTGTGGTCTAGACTATAGTGTAGTCTATAGTCTAGACTATAATGTAGTCTATAGTCTAGATTATAGTGTAGTCTATAGTCTAGATTATAGTGTAGTCTATAGTCTAGACTATAGTGTAGTCTATAGTTTAGACTATAGTGTAGCCTATAGTGTAGTCTATAGTCTAGACTATGGTATAATCTATAATCAAGACTATAGTATTGTATAGTTTGGATTGTAGTCTAATTATTTGTATTGACCATAATCATGTTCTTAGACTGGACGATAGTATAGTTTATAGTCTGGACTATAGTCTATAGTCTGGAGTCTAGTTTTAAGTCAGGATTATGGTTGATTTTATAATGTAGTTTATAGTCTTCCACAAACATAATTTTCCTTCTAAAAACGTTTCCTTATTTCCAGGAAATTTATATAAAATTTACTAAAATCGCATAACACTTCCAATTATTATTTTTTCAGCTCAAGTCATGGCGAAAATTTAATTAAATTGTAATGACAATTGTGCGCAATAATTGTTGCCAATAATAATTACAAAATAAATAAAAATAAAGTGGGGAGAGAAATAAAAAAAAATTTACACAGTTTTAAACAAGATTTTAAAGCAATAAATTGCATATTGAGGTTTTACAATAATTTTTTTTTTCTTTCCTAATAATTTATTTAAAATGTCGTTTTCGTTGTCTTCGTAAATGTATAAAAAAAAAATAAACATTTTATATTTTTCCAATAGACTCGTAATGATCTTTTAAAATACTCAACGTCAGTAAATGGAATATTGTCGTTTATATTGGACGCACACATGTTGTTTTTTTTTTTGATTTTTGTTCAATATTTAAATAAGAAAAATATATAAGCATTCTGAAAATGACAAACAATTGTCATAAATCTTAATTTTATTGCCCCTGTAGTCATAAATTTTGATTTGCATATTTTTGTAATTTAATTTTATTAATATTAATATTTATTATTTATTTTACTTGATTTTTTTTTCTTTACTTTTAAAACTGTTGGATTTTTTTTCAAAAGCATTTAATAATGTTTTCCTTATGTTTTAATATAAAAAGTTAATGTTTCTTACTGGTTTTCTTTTTTTTTATTTTCTTTCAGTGTAAATTGTGATTGCAAATTAAAAGAAAAAGAGCTGCCAGATTGTTTACATAAGTTAAAGAGCAGAAATCTTGTTATATTTTAAAAGAAATATTATATTGTAAAGTGATCATGTGTTTTAGGTGATTTGAAAGTTTGTTGTATTATTTTTAAAATCTGTGCCACTTATATTGTGTGCACTTGTTGTTGGGCCTGGAAAGGCTGTTCTTAAATTTTGGATTACATGGTGTTTTCTTGGAATGTGTTCGTCAGAGGATTAGTGAATTTAAGGAATTCATTTTGCAGCTACTGCATTTAAAGAGAAAGGTAAGTAAAGACATTTTTATTGATGATATTATTAATTAGGATTACTAAATAAAATTAAAATTTTCTTTAAATACTTAACTTTGGGGTTCGCAAAAAAAAAAACATTAACATCTATCTGTTCTAACTAAACTATTATATATTTATAAACGGAATTTTCCTTATCCGAATTTTTTCGTACTTCCCCTTAAACAGCGTGTAGCTTCTATTGAAAATGTGATAAAAAAAAACTTTAAATATTTATCGGCATATGCAACAGTTCCTTTCAACATAAACTTTTGAAGAAGATGATATTTTCAATTAATCTTTACAACTTTAGAAGTGTTATTCTCAATATTCAAAAGCTAATCTTGATCTTGTCAATATTTACTTATTAAATTTAATCTTGATCTTCTCCATTTTTCTATATAAAACTTCCACTCGATCTTTTAAACTTATCTATACAATAATTCTCACAATCTTGTCTACTAATACACAGAGGGGAAAAAACATATACACGCCTGGTACCAAATTGACAACAAATTTTTCAATAACATCCTTTGTCAAGTATATACATACATACAACAACATGTAATGTTAACCAAGCAACGTTGACAAGATTGCAACAATTCGTTGTAGCAATCTAAATTTTATGCACATCCGTTGTCTGAAAGACAACAAACGTAACAACGGATTTTGATCTCACCACGTTTGTTAAATTTTAGATAACGGATGTGCATAAAATTTAGATTGTGACAAAGAATTGTTGCAATGATGACAACGTTGCGCGGTCAACATAACATGTTGTGGTTGTATGTATGTATATACTTGACAACGGATGTTATTGAAAAATTTGGTGTCAATTCGGTACCAGGAGTGTATATGTTTTTTCCCTCTGTGTATATGGAAAAGTTGTTCTCTATTTTGTCAACTTTTCTATGAAAAGATTGCACTCGATCTTCACAATTTTTCTATATAAAAGTTACTTCTGTACTTGACACCTTCTCTATACACAATATTATCATGAAATTGACAATTTTTCTATAAGAAAGATGCAATCAACTTTTCTACAGAAAAGTTCAAATTGATCTCTTCAAGCTTTCTATAAAAGAGTTCTTTGGATCTTGTCAACTATAGAAGAGTTGAATTTGATCTTGTCAGTTAATATAAAAATGTAGCTTACGATCTTAGCTATTAATATATAGAAATGTTCCACTAAATTTTTTCTACTTGTTTATATAAAAGTTGCTTTCGATCGTGACAATTTTTTTATACAAAATGTAATCTTTGACTTGAAAAGTTGCAGCCGATATTGTTAACTTTTATGTAAAAACATTGTTATCTATCTATTGAAATTTGCTATTGATCTTGTCAATTTATCTATATAAAAATAGCTCTAGATTTTTTCTAAAAAAAAAATAGAAAAGTTATTCTATATCTTGTCAACTTTTCTATAGAAAGATTGCACTCGATCTTTACAACTTTTATGTATTGTATATACTTGACAACGGTTGTTATTGAAAAATTTGGTGTCAATTCGGTACCAGGAGTGTATATGTTTTTTCCCTCTGTGTATATGGAAAAGTTGTTCTCTATTTTCTCAACTTTTCTATGAAAAGATTGCACTCGATCTTCACAATTTTTCTATATAAAAGTTTCTTCTGTACTTGACACCTTCTCTATACACAATATTATCATGAAATTGACAATTTTTCTATAAGAAAGATGCAATCAACTTTTCTACAGAAAAGTTCAAATTGATCTCTTCAAGCTTTCTATAAAAGAGTTCTTTCGATATTGTCAACTATAGAAGAGTTGAATTTGATCTTGTCAGTTAATATTAAAATGTAGCTTACGATCTTAGCTACTAATATATAGAAATGTTCCAATAAATCTTTTCTAATTGTTTATATAAAAGTGACAATTTTTTATACAAAATGTAGTCTTTGACTTGAAAATTTTTTATAAGAAAGTTGCAGCCGATCTTGTTAACTTTTATGTAAAAACATTGTTATCTATCTATTGAAATTTGCTATTGATCTTGTCAATTTATCTATATAAAAATAGCTCTAGATTTTTTCTAAAAAAAAAAATAGAAAAGTTATTCTACATCTTGTCAACTTTTCTATAGAAAGATTCCACTCGATCTTTACAACTTTTCTATATAAAAGTTACTATTGATCTTGTCAATTAACATACATATGTATTAAAACGTTGTTCTCTAACTTGTTAACTTTTCTATTGAAAGGTTACACTCGATCTTTATAAGTTTTCTATATAAAAGTTGCTTTCGATCTTGGCAACTTGATCTCCATCTTGACAACTTGAACATTTTTCTATAAGAAAGATGCACCCGATCTTGTGAACCTTCCTATAGAAAAGTTCCAATGGATCATTTCAAGCTTTCTATAAAAATGTTTGCTATAGATCTTTTCAATTTATTGTCTACTAATATATTAAAACTTTTCTATATAAAAGTTGCTTCCGATCTTGACAACTTTTATATACAAAATATGATTCTACAGAAAAGTTCCAATTGATCTTTTCATGTTTTTTATAGAATATTTCTTTGGATCTTGTCAACTTTTATGTAAAAATGTTGTTCTGGCTCTCGATCTTGTCTACTAGCATATAGAAAAGTTAAAGTTACTTACTTCCCATCTTGACCACTTTTTATACAAAATATGATCATAAACTTGAAAATTTAGTCATATGAAAGTTGCACTCGATCTTGTCAACTTTTCTATAAAAACGTTGTTCTCGATCTATGGAAAAGTTATTCTCTATCTTGTCAATTTTTATATAGAGAAGTTGCACTCAATCTTCCCTACTTGTCTATATAAAAGTTGCTTTCGATCTTGACCACTTTTCTATAGAAAATACGATTATGAAGTCGCATCCAAACTTGTCAACTTTCCTACAGAAAGTTATTACAGTTATTCTTCATATTATCAACTTTTGATTTCAATTTTGACAAACTCCCCGATCTGTTTTATTCTCAAGTCATTGAGAATAAAACCCTAAGTATCTAACAAACACAACCTGATAAGATAAAATCGTTGACAGTATGATAATATCAATAGTTCGGCTGTCGATCAGTTATATATTTGGAATGCAATCTCAGAAGACAAATTCCTCATGGTCTAATTAATAAATAACAAACGACTAGTTAAAGCTTCTCCTTCGGCTTGCGTTAGTTCGGAAAGTATTGCTTGTGAATAGATTTGGGAAAGATAAATAGTTCGGAGATATATTGTACGTGGGTTAAGAATAGCAATCTTGGAAGTTCTTGATCGATTAGTGTTAGTTGACAATGAATGATTATAGTCTAACAAGATCAATAGTTCAACTGTCGATCTGAGATATCTGAGCTGGTAGATAATATAATACAAATAAGATTAATAGGTTTTGTATAGATAAGATATACTTTATGAGCTAATGTTAACTTGGCTAAGACTGTGTATGGAGTCTAATAAGATTAGATGAAATCATATAAAAGACTTACTAACGAATCTGCGACATCAATCTATATATATAAAAGAGTAGCGTTACTGACTGACTGATTCATCATCGCACAGCCCAAACGGCTGAACCTAGAATCATGAAATTTTGACAGTAGATGTGTTTTTGGTTAAGTAGGGATTTTTGGACATTTGTACAAAGGGTAAAAAGGGGAAAAAACGGGTAAAACAGGTTTTCTTAATTATCTTACACAATATGAGTGATACAAGAAACATTTTAAATGCACCTGTATCTACTCTTAAAATGAGCAGATGGGTATCTGGTACTTTTTTGAAATTCGTACTTTTAAGGGGTAAAATGTGTAACAACGGTGATTTTGGTACCTTTTTTGGCCCTTTATAACTTTTGAACTAATTAACATAATAAAATTTTTATAAATATTTTGGACGCATCTCCCAAAATTATGAGACACCTGTTTCGTACTTTTTTAAAATTCAGTCCTTTTTGGGTGTAGAAAGGAGAAAACTGCATTTATGGTACTTTTTTTAGCACATTAAGATAACTTTTTCGGTTTATTGAAGGAGAAAACTGCATTTATGGTACTTTTTTTAGCACATTAAGATAACTTTTTCGGTTTATTGAATTATTCCTATTAAATTACGGACTAACTCTGTAATATTTATTGTAATAAAATTGTTGCTTTTTCACTGGGAAAAAAAAATACCAAAAAGGGGAAAAACGGGAAATTTAATTTTATTCAAACTCATTGAACCAATTTTTATAAAATTTGAAAAAGTTGTTTATTTACTCACATAAAATAAGCTGTTGGTATATTCGAGTAAATTGTTTGGTACTTTCTGTAAGTGGAAACTATTTGGTACTTTTCTATTCTTCAAATGGTACCTTTTAGATTCTTTATAATGGTTAACCGGAACACACGGTCCTTATTAAATGAGAATTTATTGAGAGAGATTTTTATACTTTTTCGATTTTCCGATGGTACTTTTTGATATTTTTACGATATTGAACATTGAAAATAAAATTTAAAATGTAGGGACCTTAGTGAAGGAGAATCTACTGAAAGGTACTTTTTCATTCATTAAAATTATACTTTTTGAATTGTATATAATATTGAACACAGAAACATAAAATTTTTGATTAAATGATAATTTATTACAGGTATTTTATAGTACTTTTTTTTCAAAAAGTACTTTCGAAATTTTCTATAATGTGGAAGCTAAATGAATAAAACTAAAAATAAAAGCTTCTTACTGAATGCGAATTTAATCACGTCATATTGAACTGAAACATTAAAAAAATGTTTAATCAATTTTAATTTTCTATAAACAAAATTTTGTATGTATTTAATTTAAGTTAGGGTATTGAAGCACCCAGGGTATGCTAGTAGTTTAATATTCAAGTAGTTAAAAATCTGTGAATATAATTCTATAAGCAAGAAATAATACTTTATCTTTCAAGTTGCTAGTTATTAGGACTTATATGGATAAATTCTAGGTTAATCAAAAACAATCCTAGAATATCGCCTTCATATAAAGTTATAG